GCAGATTGTCTGAACTATAAATTAGATTTCAAGACTAGTTGCAATATAATACTAACTAAGAAAATTCAAAATACAGTCATCCCTCTATATAGTCACCTCCCATATAATCACACCATATGCAATCACATTAATGTTTAGGCCAAACTAAGATTTAATTTATAAGAAAAAGACCTCTATATAAGCACAACCCTATATAAGCACATTTTGAAAAAAAGTTACTATGTGCCCAACTGTGTGATTATATGAGAGGACGACTGTAAATATTCATCACACTTGCTTCTCATAATTCTACTAAGAAACACTTTGGTATTCTAACAAAAAGGTCTTTGTTGGGAAATTTTACTATGCAAATTACCTTCTCTAACCTATAACACTAACCCTAATACTAAAATGAATGAGCTTTAAAGAATTTATGCTATGCTATTATCTAAAAGATAATATTTGCGCATATAGCTTTTTTTTTTCTTTTTTCTAACTTTGGCAGTCTTGCCAGTGATCCTTTATTAAGATTGTCTTGTCATAGGTGGTACAAGATACTTTAAGCTTAACATTTAGGCCTAATATCCTATAGTTACTTCTAAGAGCACTTTCAAGTGACTTGCTGCACTAGGCAGATAAATCTACAAGAGACATATCACAGTAAATCTGAAGACTACTTATCCTAGAAAACCATATCAGACCACTGCCCTACAATAGGATATCGCCAATTTGATGACATCTTCTTATAGAGAAGTGAAAAAAAAAAAATACTAATACTAATACTAATATTAAAAAGAGGAAAAAGGAAAAAATAAAAGAAAGAAAATCTAATAGTCACAATTATAAGCCTGTGTCAGGCTAACAAAAATTATATATTATAAGATAAAGAAGCTTTGTATCTAACTCTATTCTAATAATATATCTAGTCTACACTAGAAAAAAAGAAAAATAGTAGATTTAAACTAGACTAGACAGAGTAGTATATAAAAAAAAACACTAATAGTCTCGAAGTATTGTTTAAATGGTTTTTTCGGTCAAGACACGTTGCCTAATTGTGTTGTCCTTCAGACATATTTGGTTGCCTAATCTGGCTATCTAACAATTTGTGTTTACTTAAAAATAAACAAACCGTTTAAGAAGAGCCAACATGTTTTAGGTTAGATAAACAATATTGACTGTTTTGGAAAATTACATATTGATCTTTTGGAGAGAGTAAGTGAGATGCCCACTTTTTGACAAAATTTTCTTGAAAAAAGTGGTGGGCCAACAAAACTTTGAGAGTTCTTCCTTGTAAGTTTTATAGTTGTATAGAGACTATCTGCAGTTTTTTAAATATGCTTAGTGTTGATCTAGTCATTCTGTGTTCTCAGAATATCCTTCTGGTTTGGATGCTGAATAGTATAGGGGAGTTTGCTAACAAGAAAGCTTGACCTCTACAAAAACCGTCCAAAGTAGTGTGCTTCTCAGTTTTACACTCTTGGTACTTTGTCGACAACACATCTACTTGTGTAGGACCAAGTATATTATTATCCTTTGATGTCTTCTATAATGCTGACAGTAGTTCAGATTTTTGTACTTATTGACTAGAGGATTGTTAGAAAGAGTTTTTCATAGAAATCTGTATAGCAATGATATTCACACATATAGCATTTACCATAATTATATTATATTTCTAAGTTTTGATTATTTAATAAGTATTAAAACCATTTATCAATAACTTTTAAATAGTCTGAATTTTACATATTATATATGATTGTACTGGTCCTGCATGGTGTTATACATCATGCAGCTAACCTATTTTTTATTTTACTAGTTATAACCAGTTGGTCACGGTTGTTATAAAATAACTAATAATAACCGACTAATGACTGTAACTAACCAACCCATCCCTAGCCTCGATATATATAATGTTTAATGTAAGAGTATAAAAATCAATTATTAAGCTCAATATTCAAAGAAGTTATTCCAGTTTTATTTACTATTTATAATTTGCTTTTAGATTATAAATATAATAAGAATTTAGTTATTATATTTACTATTTATACATATGAATAGTTCATGAGTATAATAATCTGAGCATTTAAATCATATAGCTAAGTTCATAAATAGTTATATTTTATTTGCATTATCATTAATTTAGTGCATAAGAATACTAAAATAAAGCTTATTTACAATAAAGTTTATATACAAGTTCTCCAAAAATAGCAAATTACTATAAATTAATCTGGTCCTGAACCACAGAATCTTTTTTAATTAAATGTGGTTGTTTTCAAATAGCTAGAATGTTTATTATAAATATAAGATGTAAATTTTTTTCACGTCATAACTCTGGGCAATATTATAATCAGGAGAGACTTTATATCCTCTGAGTTAATTTACCTTAGAGTTATAAGCATTAAAGAAGTAAACCAAATATTTATTAATACACACAAGGCACCATAAATATATAAATAATATATCCTCAAGCATACTTAGTATACTATAAACCCTTTCCAAAGTACTAATATCCAAATCTCTGATATATAAACTAAAGACCAAAATACAAATCCACATAATCTACTAACAACCCAATGTTCTATGACTCCTATTTTTACATACTATTAGACTATACAAATGTAATATAACAATATAAAGTCTAATTATGGCTATAAACTTTGTATAAACTATTATATCATTATACTGCAAAAGTGTAATTGTTATATAACAAAGTTTAATTATGAAACTTTGTTAAATAACAGCAAGTACTAGAACACGGGTCTACTAATGGATTTAAAAATTGGAGTAATTACAAGACCTGGAGTATTAAGGTTCATGAATATTTATTATTTAGTAATAAAATAATATGTATTATATGCAAAAACTTAAGAATCATTTTTTTATTAGTCCTATTATAGAGTCTAGACTAGAAGCATTGAACTTTTAGCAGCTCTTGCCTATACTCAACAGCACGGGCTTTCTCTAATATATAAAAAAGGAGAAAGTAAATTTTTCCTTTATATAACTAGTGTAATTGCTCTATTTTTGTATAACTAGGCTCAAGATGGAGACCAGCAGAAGGAAGCAATAACTAGCAGTTTGATTTAAAGAACTAAAGCAGAGAGTAATATTTAAAAGGTAAAGTTGTAATAGAATAATAGAAAGCAAATAAAGTGGAGTATAACCTTATTAAATTCAAAAAAGTCCAAACTTAGTTCAAGCAATATAGCAAACGCTATTAGACTCTAGAAATCCAAACCTTATACACTCTAAAGATATCAAGAAATAACAAGAAAGATAACAAGAAAGAAAATAAAAACTCAAGGAAAATGCCAATTTCTAAGAAGACAATAGTATTTATTATTAGCAATCAAAAGTAAGAACTTATACAAAGTTAAATTGAGAAAGGAGAAAAGAGAGGCTATTTATAATGTTTTGGAACTATGTAGATATTAATTTAACATCTATCTATCATGTGATGCACATAGGGTTACATATTACATTTAATTTAAATTTCATTACACTAATTAGTAAGTTCTAGAACGTTTATCAAAAATTGCTAATTACTAAAAATTTTACTATGATAATTGATCTAGCTTATTAAGATAAAAATGTTTTATAACCCAAAATAGGGGGTTTGCTAATGTATAGTAATAGGTTTTTGTATTAGTTTTTGAGATATTAGCTTCCAAATATAAATGTTTCCTATACTCACTCATTAATTACTAATATATATGATATAAACAATAATAAATAGTAATACTAATGATAATAATATATAATAATATAATAAAATATTGATAAGAATATAATAATAATGTGATAAAATATAAGAAAAAGAAAAGAAAAGAAAAAAATATTAAAATTTGATGAAATTTTGAGGTACTATATCACTCTACTCTTTAGATTCAACCTCCTGGTCGAAGTCATCAAACTTATCAATATTTAATAATTGTATCCATATTTGGTCCTTTAATCATTTGGCTTTAGGTACTAGAGTTTTATAAAGGCAGTATGATATATTTCATTCAAGATAAAGGAGATAATTTGTTGGACAGCATAATGATATAAATGACCACGAGTATTAAAAAGTTGATGAGTTCATTGGGATATTTTCAATACATTTCTGGCTTTTATGGATGAAAAATATGAATATAATTCTTATCGAGCAGTGTGTTGCCAATTTTGAGTTTCTAAGAGTTGTCTAAGTTTAAAAAAAAGTTCAAGTATGGTTCTATTTGAGTGTATTCATTTTTGTATTTGAGTGATAGCACTACAGATATGAGCTAGTTTTTGTTTAAAATCATCACCAGAGATATAGAGATTTAAAGTAATATTTTTAGGTTCTTCTCTGTCAAGGTCTAATAAGTAAATATATAGATTATTGTGGATTCAATAAGCTTTATTTTCACTTTGGCTTGGGTGTAGAAAATGTTGAACCGAAGTAGAGTTTTGTATTTGAATAGAACTAGAAGAGATATTAATAGTTTTATCAGGTTGACGATGTTGTAATAAGGATAAGATATAAGATTTAAGAGTATTAAATCATTGGGTAAGGTCCATTTTAATTGTTTTTTTTTTTTATATATAGTGAAGATAAAATATAGACATTGAATAAATTTTTACGGTTTTTATAATAAAATTTGTGGTTCCCAGTTTGGCAATTCTTTGTATAGCTTTAATAAATCCTCATTTACTATTTTTGCAAGTACTTTACTATTTATAGTTCATAACTGATATGTACTATTATTAAATTTATTGTGTATATAAAATGGTCCTGTGAATCGTTCCTCTAATTTTTTTGTAGAATTCCTTTGGTATACAATCTTGCATTGAATAATAAAACTTTATCATTGATTTGATAATCATGGAGTTTAATATATTGATCTTAATACTTTCTTTGTTTCTCTTGTGCTTTAATTATATTAGTTTGTGCTTTAATTCTTTGTTGAAGTAGACATCAATTAACTTGTATATGTGATATAATAATTTTTCGTGGGGCATTATTTCATGAATATTGCCCATATTGGTTATAAATTAAAATTCTACAAGTAGTACTGCATCTTGGCCATACAGTAAATTAAATAGTTCAAATTTAGTAGTTGTTTGTTGATGTGTACAATATGCAATTAGGACGGAAGATATATGAACATCCCAATCTGTAGAAAATGTGGCAACATATTTTGCTAATGTTTCACATAAAGTTCTGTTAAATCATTCAACAAGTCTATTTGTTTTAAGGTGATAACTAGAGGATAGTTTGTGTTTAGTTCCTAAATATTCACAGAGAGAGTCTATTATTTTATTTACAAAGTGTGTTTTTTGATCTGTTAATAGTGTTTTTGAACAACCATGTTTACAGATTATATCTTCATAGAAAAATTTTGTTATAGTGAGGGCTAGAGTATCTGGTATAGGTCTTGCTTCTGGCTATTTTGTTAGGTATTATGTTGCAATGATAATATATTTATTTTCTTGTTTAGTTCTGGTAAAGGTTCTATGATATCCATTCCAATCATATTAAAGAGCTGATTTACTACTATTGGGAGTAAAAGATTGGTTTTTGGGGGCTTTCTTTTTTTTAACAGGCATCACATACTTGTATATATTCTCTGATATGTTTTTGCATTCCTGACCAAAAGTATTTCTTTGCGATTGCTGTATATGTTTTGTCAAAAGAAAAATGTCTTGCACTAGAATCATAGTGTATTTGGTAAAGAACTGCTTCTATTTCATTAATTTTTAATACACAAAGGGATATAGAATTATTAAGAGAAGGTTTTTTAAATAATAAATTGTTTTGAATAAAATAAGAAATAGCTTTTCGTTTAATACTAGCTTTTTGTGAAGATGATAAATTAGGTAGAAAATTAAGAGTTTGAAGATAATTATAAATAAGATTATAGGTAGGGATATCTATAATGAAATATAAATATAATAAATAGTAATATATAATAAGAATGTAAATAAATAAATAAATAAATATTGCTTTGATTTAGAGTTTAGATTTGTTGTGAGAGTCTGGATAGACCATCAGTATTTTTATGTATTTTTCCTGCTCTATGTTATACAGAAAAATTGTAATCTTGGAGTTTGATAATCTAATGTATAAGTCTTCCTGTTGGATTAGCAATTTTGAATAGAGATCACAATGCAGAATGATTAGTAATAATTGTAAATTGTTGTCCATGTATGTAAGGGTGAAAATGTTTAATTGACTATACAACAGCTAGACATTTTAGTTCTGTTGCAGAATAATTTTGTTCAGGTTTGTTTAGTGTTTTGGAGGCATATGCTATAGCATGTTCTTTGTCATCATCTCCTAATTGTGATAATACTGCATAGTTGATGCATCTGTATAGAGTAAAAATTCTTTTTCAAAATTTGGAAATATAAGAATAGAGGCTGTGATAAGTTTTTCTTTTAAAGTTTCAAATGCTTTTTGTTGTTCTTCTTTCTATTCTAATTTAATATTTTTCTTAAGTAGTTGGTTCATTGGGGCTGCTATTTTTGAAAAGTTGGCAATAAATCTTTTATAATAGGAAGTGAGTCCAAGAAAAGCTCATATTTGGGTAATAGTTTTAGAGACAGGATAATTTTTTACCTTTTCTATTTTTGCTAGATCAGGTGAGACTCTATTTTTACTAATTATATGTTCTAAAAATGCTAATTCTTGTTTGATAAAAAAGCATTTTTCAGGTTGAAGTTTAAGGTTTGCTTTTCTAATATATTCAAATACAAGACGAAGATATTGGATATGTTTATCAAAAGTTTTAGAGAAAATATTGATGTTATTGAGATATACTACAACAAACTTCCAAAGATATTCTTGTAGTATATTGTTTATTAAATATTGAAATGTGGCTGGAGCATTAGTTAATCCAAAGAGCATTACTTTGAATTCATATAGTCCATGTCAAGTAGTGAATGCAGTTTTGGGTACATCTTGGGGAGCCATAGCTACTTGCCAGTAACTACTTGCTAGATCTAGAAAAGTGAATTATCCAGATCCTTGTAATATATCTAGGAGTTCATCAATTCTTGGTAAAGGGTAACAATTCTTTTTAGTTACTGCATTTAATTTTCTATAATCTTCGCAAAATGTAGTTTTCCATTTTTTTTTTGACAATAACAACTGAAGAGGCTCAAGGACTTTTAGAAGGCTGAACAAGGTCTAGTTTTAATATTCTTTGAATTTCTTCCTTAATAAAATCTGATTCTTTAGGAGAGATTTGATAAAATTGTTTTTTTATAGGTTTATCATTTTCAACTTCAATTTCATGCTGGATTTCATTAGTTCTTCCTAAATCAGAATTATTTTGAGCAAAGATATCAATATATTCATTAACAAGATCATAAAATTCTTCTTGTTGTTTTTCATTCAATTCTTCAACATTAAGTTTAGAAGGAGGGTCAAAAGAATCTTCTATTTTATCTTCATGAAAAGTTAGTAAAATTTCTTGGATTTCATTCTATTCTTCATTAGTTTTGTATGACAGTATAGGCATATTTGCTTTAAGTTTTCTTTTTCTATTTCTTGGCAAAGATTAAGAATATAGATTCTTTCTTCAAGTTGTTCATCTTCATATTCAGTGGATTCATCAGATTCACTTGAGGATTCATATTTACTTTCACTTTCATTAGAGCTTTCTTTTGTTTTTCCTTTAAATATAGCTTCAACTCTTAGAATTCTAGTAACATGTCTAAATTCAATAGGAACTTGAATTTTTACATTTTTATTTTTAATCTTCATTACTGATTTTTTCCAATTAATTTTTGCTTTGGCTTTAGATAGCCAGTTATTAACAACAATTACAGAGTATATATCAGTATCTGCAACTACTACATCAATTGGTAAGGAGTATTCACCAATTTTAATAGGTAGATTTTCTACTTCTCCAAGAGGTCTTCTCTTTTCTCCATTTATATTTAGTATTAAAGTTGTTGATGGTTTTGTAATTTTTAAGCCAATATATTTAAGAAAGTGATTAGAGATAATACTTCTAGCAGAACTATTATCAAGAATAATTGTCTGGAGCAAAGCGGAGGACTCATACTTCTATGTGCTTTGATGACGAAAATTACAATTTTGATATATCTATAATAAAAAGATCAAAAAAGTAGTTTTGGTATTTTTCATCTGTAATACCGCATGTCTATATTTGTACATTGTGTAAAAAAAATTATACACATTTACGCATTTGTATAAGTTAACAATAATGAGCTTCAGACTTAAACCAGTTTCTGGTTCCTAGTATTAGTAGTAACTCCATTGACATTGGCTTGACAATATAATTCTGTAGTTCTAAATTTTCTATTATCTGCATATTAGGCAGTAAACATAGGTTTAGGAGCAGATTTAATCTTTTTCTTTCAAAGGCTTCTACTTAGTTCTCTTAGGTATTTAGTGTTTTCAGCAGCAAGTTAAGCAATAGAGATATTTGCCTTGATTTGTTGTAAGTCTTCAACAATTGAATATTTTGATACATCTTTACCAATCGTTATTTATGAAATCTTGGACCTTGCAAAGAATTTCATTCTTTTTAGCTTTAGAGGTTTTAGAACTTTCTGCTTGAGTGTCATTTACTACAATATTTTGAACTTCTGGAGTTTTATTTTCTTCTACTACTTTTCTTCTTTTTTCTACATAGGCTTCATTAATATTATTTTTATCTTCTTCTTTTAAATACAACATAGAAGGGTTTGTATTGTCTTGGGAAGCATCAGGACCTTCTGTATTTACTGACACTAATTTAAGTTTAAATGTTATAAGAGAGTGGCTAATTGTTGTGTAAGTTGATTAGAATTATTATTATTATTATTATTTTGTGGTTGATTGTTATTATTTTGAACAGGGTTTGGGCAATTGTTATTTCTGGGTTGATTATTTCTAGGTTGGTTATTATTATTTGTTGGAGAGTTATTTTGTTGGTTGTTGTTATTTCTTAGATTAGGACAATCCCAGGCAATATGTCCAGGTTGGAAACAATTAAAGCAAACAGGTCCTCTTTGATTGTTATTGTTGTTGTTATTATTATTGTTTTGGTTGTTTCTTCTAGGATAGTTGTTATTTTCTAATTTCTTTTCAATTTTCTTTTCAAAATTTTCTATATATTTAGTAAGAGCTTCCATTATAATTTCAACAGAGTTAGAAGATGTAGGAGTTGGAGTAACAATATTGTTGTTAAGATTAGGAGTAATATACATTTTGCAGCACTATAATGAGTAAGTTCACAGGTTTTTGCTCTTTTAACTACTCCATCCCAAGTATTTTCACCAAATAGACATACTGCTATTTGTAATTTTGTTCTCAAACCAGTAGTAAATTTACAAACTTTTTCTATTTCTGGATAAACATTGGCATTTGTTTTTAATTGACGATATAATTCATGTAGATGCATAGCATATTGGTCTTCAGTTTCAGTTGGTCCTTGTACGTAGTGAGTTAATTCAGTAGCCCAAATGTCAATAAGAACAGGAGTTTAGAATCAGGTAAGAAATCAAGGTTTAAAACTATTAGCTTGATTTTGTTTATCCTAGTATCCAAAAGCTTGTTGTTGGTTGATGTTAGTATACCAAATTGCTGCTTCATTTTTAAGATAAGCAGGAATAATTTGTAGTCTTCTTGCATCAGTAAAGTTGTTGGCTACAGCTATACATTCAAATTCTTCAATCCAAGTAACTAGATCTTGATTACCACCAGCAAAAAGTATAATTTCAATAAGTTTAGTTTCTCTTTGTCCAAGATGATTAGTATTATTAGCAACAGCATTTGTTTGATTTTGAATCTGGTTATCTAGTGCTTAAATAGCATTAATTAAATTATTAATATCTTGTGCTTGAAATACCATATTATTATTATTTAGAGGTAATAAAGATGAAGTAATAGGAGGAGAAGGTACAGGAATTTGATATAATTGATCTAAATCAAATTCAGATAAATCAGAAGTTTCAGAAATTTCAGATTCTACTTCACTATAATTATAAAGAATTAAAAAAAGATTTAAAGTAAATCGATTTGTTCGAAGATAAGCAGTATAGATTTGAATAGATAAAGAATCAAATACTAAAGGAGTTAAACTTTGTTGATATAGAATAGTAAAAGTAAGGTTTTCAAAACATTTTAAAGATAAATTATCAATATTATATGCATTAATATCTTGAAAAACTAAAATAGTATAGTCAAAATATCGAACAACAGAAAATTCTGCTGAAAACCAAGACCAAAAATTGATAGAAGAATAATCTCTTTCTGTGTTTACAGGATAACAAATAGTACAAGAAAAGTCAGGAAGGTGTTGATTTAAATATTCAAAAGTGTCAGAATTTAATATACATTTATTATAAAAACTATCATATAAATTGTTTCTTTGTTAAAATAAATCAAAGTTATCAGTCATCCAATATTTTAATCTAAATAAACATTAAAACCTTTTTGCTGTCAAAATTTTACTAATTCTTTTATTCCGTCAGAAGAGATAATATTGTTATTAAATTCTTGTTTGTAGAGATTTAAATTATTTAATTGATAATTTGTATAGACAATATTAACAACTTGTAATTCAGTAGGATGAGGGAGATTATAGTGGATTCTAGTAGGGTTGCTTGGGTTTGGAAATTTAAGATAATATGTTTGTTGATAAGTATTTTTTTTAGGGACTCTTGTTTAATTATACTTAGATTCCAAAGTTGAGGTGGAGTATATTTAAATTTGCTGTTGGCCCAAGAGAAACCACAATATTGAGTATATAAATAAAGAAGTTTAGTTTCCTCAGAAGTGAGAATAGAACCTTGTTGAAAAAGAGTAATAATTTGTTTTATTTGGTCAATTAGAGTTTGAGGTTGTTTGTCAGTTAGGATATATCCAAAATATTTATAAGAGAAGTTAAAATGTTGTTGGTTAAATATAAAATAAAGAAAAATAAAAGTGTTTAGAGAAGAGAATAAGATATATTTATAGATAAGAATAAGAATAAATAAGATAATAAGAAATAAAGATAAAGAATAGATAATAGGATAGGAAAAAAAATAAGATAATAGAAAATAAGAGAGATATAATAAAAGAAATTAAAGCAATAGAGAGAAATATTCTTTTTAAATATTATGTTTCTGCCAGGAGGCGCCAAATGTTATTGCTATATTTTTGTATAATTAGACTCAAGATGGAGATCAGCAGAAGAGAGCAATAACTAGCAGTTCGATTTAAAGAACTAAAGCAGAGAGTAATATTTAAAAGGTAAAGTTGTAATAGAATAATAGAAAGCAGATAAAGTGGAATATAACCTTATTAGATTCAAAGAAGTCCAAACTTAGTTCAAGCAATATAGCAAATGCTATTAGACTCTGGAAATCCAAACTTTATATACTCTAAAGATATCAAGAAATAACAAGAAAGATAACAAGAAAGAAAATAAAAATTTAAGGAAAATACCAATTTCCAAGAAGACATTAGTATTTATTATTAGCAATTAAAAGTGAGAACTTATACAAAGTTAAATTGAGGAAGGGAAAAAGAGAGGCTATTTATAATGTTTTAGGACTATGTAGATATTAATTTAGCATCTATCTATCATATGACGCAAATAGGGTTTTATAATACATCAAATGTTATATTTAATTTAAATTTTGTTATACTAATTAGTAAGTTCTAGAACATTTATCAAAAATTGCTAATTACTAAAAATTTTACTATGATAATTGATCTGGCTTATTAAAACAAAAATGTTCTATGATCTAAAATAGGAGGTTTGCTAATGTGCAGTAATAGGTTTTTGTATTAGTTTTTAAGATATTAGCTTATAAATATAAACATTCTCTATACTCACTCATTAATTACTAATATATATGATATAAATAATAATAAATAGTAATACTAACAATAATAATATATAATAATAATATGATAAAATATTGATAAGAATATAATAATAATATGATAAAATATAAGAAAAAGAAAAGAAAAGAGAAAAATATTAAAATTCAATGAAATTTTGGTGTATTACACTAGCAAATAACCCATACCTTCGGTATGGGATATCTAACCTATTAAATTATCAGATGTTAGACAGAGCAACCAGATATTAAAATAGAATCTCTATCACTTTCCTGATAACCATTTTCTCAACCAACCAAATTCTGACAAAAATTGGCCAGAACTAACACAAACCCCAATTAATGCAGGTGAACTTGTGATTTTGATATTGTCAGAAAAATGATAGGATATATCAAAATGTATTTGCAAAAAGAAAAGATACCTATCATTAAAATTATAAGAACCAGAAGATTTCTATTTACTACTGAAATAGTGAACATTTTACTGTCGAAACTAGACTCTCATTTTGAATTACAAATCTTCATATTAAAATCATGAAAATATACTTATTGAATCATAAAACTGTTGCAATTATTACTTATATGCTACTAAGTTGTAAAACCAATTATTGTTAAATGCAACTACACCTGTTATTAAAACTATTTAGCAATCTATTATTGAATTACGAATATATTTACTTACTGCTGAAATTAAAAACCTTGCAATTGCTAAAATAATGAACCTACCACTCTTGAAATCTAGAATCTACTTATTATTATAATCATGATCCATCTATTGTTAAAATATGAATTCACATATTAATAAAATTATAAATCTATTTTACTTACTACAAAATTATAAATGCAATTCCTATTACTATATTAAAATTACAAACTAGTTAAGTTCTAAATCAACTATTGTTTAAATCACTAATTATAGACCATGAACTATTAAAATTATGAATGCATCAATTGTTAAAATTTTTACTTGCAACTATTAAAAATATAAGTCTATTACTGTTAAAATCATGAGCCTATCCTTTTAAAACTACTAAATTACTAACCTACCTGCTATTGAAATTACAAACCCACTGCTAAAAAAGGATCCAGTTCAATTCACCAACAGTACTATTCACTAATAAGTCTTTTTGTATAAATTACACAAAACTTAACTCTAAAATGGTCAAAACTACATTGTTGGTAAAATAAACTGTCTGTGAAATAAATGGTATTAGTTAAAAAAATTATGAATCTACATACCATTGAAACCACTAACTTACCTAATAATATAAATCCACTTATTATTACGATTATGAACCCACTTACTACACACCAAATACTGAATCAATGGAGGCTGGAGTGATGATCATTAAAGTGCGTTATGTGGTGTATAAATTTATGTAGTTCACCAGTTTTGGAAAGATACAATTGCACAGAAACCTGTCTCCATAATTTTAACTCTTAAAATTATACATATGACGTAGAGAATATTTATTTGCATCAGTTTATTTTCAAATTTTTATTGCCCATCTTTTATAATTATTACACTATAGAAATTGTTATTAAATTTTATTGTTATAATTAACATGAACTATAGGTGCAGGTATATTGATGTCAACAGGTTATATTGTAGCTATTGTAAAGATATTACTAACACTGTGAATTTAAATATTTCTGTACCTATAATACAGATACAATTGATTGACTATTTGTTACCAGACCTTATCTACAAATCTTTATCTGCAAATCTGAATTTTGTCCCTCATATATAGAAGATCATTCAAGATTAACTGTGAAAATCAAACCTGATTGACATGGCTATGCAAAACATCTTAGTCTATTAACAGTATCCGATAAGGTTTTAAGCAACAACTGATTTTCAAAAATTATCAGCCTATTTGATGCAACGACTCAAAATCTTTATCATCAACTTCTCATTTAAAACATTATTTGAGATAAACCAGATGAAAATTAGCCTAAGCAGTTATTTAAATCTACTAAAAGTAATAGAATAACACTTTTGCTATCAACTGGTCAAAATTTCTTATTCGTCACCACACCTTATCTCAAGATCTTCATACCCCTTCACTTTAGCCAATCAAAGCGCCTGCTGAAAGTTGTCCCTTATATATATGATGATGATGATGATGATTACAAGAAAGTTGTTTTGACGATCATACGTTCAAAATCAAATAGATACAACACGAGTACGACCAAAAATATCAATGTACTACAAACTATAAAAGCCATAAAAGGCAAAAACAAACCAACAAAATTGAGCAGTGTTAATTAGGGTTTTTTTTGTGGTTAGGATTTAGGGCAGCATTATTAATAAAAGAACATATATAGATTTTAGTAGATATTATAGATTTAAATAGAGTAAGCCGATCTCGCCACAATAATTGAAATGACGCATAACAGTTACGATATTAACTTAAATCTTTTAGCTCTTATGCTCATCTGGTACAATAATCATTATTCATTCAAATTATCAAATTTATATGAAATGCAAAAATTTTATTTATCCTCATGATGGGCTAGCAAAATCTTATTAAACCAAAACAATTATATTATGAGCCAAAATTTCTCTAGCACAATTTATCGAGATCTAAAATATTTGAAAATTTTAATTTATAACACTCAAAATGGTATTAAATGATTCCCTATCTAACTTTATTATAAATCGCAAATGTATTTTATTCACTTAATAAACGGTAGATTATTTTACGTTGGTTTAATGTCCATTCATCATTCGGTTTAATTTCCAATGATTTATTAAAATCTGCTAGTGATTCTTCGTATTTGCCCACTAAACGATAAGCTTCCCCTCGATCTCTTAATGCAAATGCATTATTTGGTTCGATTTCCAATGATTTATTCAAATCTGCAAGTAATTCTTCATATCTATTCATCAAGCGATAAATTTCTCCTCGTCTTCTTAACGCAAATGTATTATTTGGTTCAATTTCCAATGATTTATTTAAATCTGCAAGAGACTCTTCATATCTATTTAGTAAACGATAAGTATTTCCTCGACAAAGTAATGCAAATGTATTATTTGGTTCAGTTTCTAATGATTTATTTAAATCAGCAAGTGATTCTTCGTATTTGCCCATTAAACGATAAGTTTCCCCTCGACTTCTTAATGCAAATAGATTATCCGGATTAATTTCTAATGACTTATTTAAATCGGCAAGTGACTCTTCATATCTATTCATCATACGATAAGTGTTTCCTCGACTTCTTAATGTTTCTGCATTTTCCGGTTCAATTTCTAATGATTTATTTAAATCTGCAAGTGATTCTTTATATTTCCCTATTAAACAATTATAAAATAAATAACTTCACGACTTTTCGGTTCAAACACATTATTTGGTTCAATATTAAATAATTTAGTCAAGTTTACGAGCGACTCTTTATATTTACCCATAATACGATAGGTTTTACTACTTCTTCTTAATTCTAATGCTTTATTCGATTCAATTTCTGGTGCGCAATTGGCAGCATTAGAAATATTATCACGTAAAAGTAGCGTCGTAGATAGATTATTGCGAGGAGGTAACACATGTGAAGTAATATTTATAGATTTGTTTGGTGCCATAAATTTTAACATAATATCAGCCCACAAAGTTGGTTCAAGGATTTTGTGATAAGGCCGAATTTTTTCAAAGACATCTTCACCAGAAATTTGAAAATAACGAATTAAAGGAAGACAATTTTGAAGTGAGTTTTTTAAAGTTAAAAAATCTTCATCAGACCATTGATCAGGATTGGGAGGTAGAGATGGATTTTGAGAAATTCCCCATTTAATAGTGTAATCCCAAATTTTTCCTTCATCAATTTGTAGATTATCAAGCTTTAAGATAAATATTAAAATATTTTCTGAAAGAGTAAGAAATTCATCTGAATCAAGAATAATATTTGGATGTTTAGCAATAATATTGGCGCAAAATTGTTGTAGTTCTTTTAGATTATCATCCTTAAAACTAGCTTGATAAACGCGAGAAAAGTTAAGACGTAGCCAGGAAGCATTATTTTCAAGTAGAAATGACTGGACATGCTTAATCAACTCTTCAAGACCAAATTCACTAGAAGCAATTAAAAGTTCAAAAATAACTGAAGCATTAACTGTTTCTAAAGAAATGATGCCATTATAAATATACCTACATATATTATATATTCACACATTAATACTTTAAACTTAACATTATAGTCTATACATTCATATTATTACTTACTTGATTATTATATCAAATACTTCAATGGAAACGTTAATTTGTTTTACTATTTTAACATTATTGCTATTATAAGTAATTGCGCCTAATTTATTTTTAAAATATGAACATCGAGAACTTAGGATGATTGAATGTACTTTAAATGCTTGAATATTTGGCTCTTGGCCAACTTCAATAATGACATTATATTCTTCACTATTTTTAAGAAGTTCGTTTAAATTACTAGAAAGTTGCTCGAAAAACTTTGTCGTCATAATTATGCGAAGAAACAATCAATTAACAACTATATGTAAGCGTAATGCAGTACCGTTAGTCACAGGTACGTAGCGTTACCAGGACGAAGGAATTTAAGAGCAATGCTAATTTTGTAACGTACAGTAGTTTTTTAAACAGGAGAAACCGTCCAAATATAGATATGATTTTCATTCTCCGTTACACAGATCACTCATTGTATCGACCAGTCAAAATATCACTGCGGGATTAGTCAACCAATCAAATTGCAAAATTTACAAAAAGACGAAAGCATGGGATTCAAGGGGATTCAAAAAATATGTTGTAAAGCAAAGTGAGAGCTTCATGTTTGTTTAACCATTTTCAATATTCATAGAAAAGATAAGTCAAGCGAGCCTTCCAAAAAAGTATTGTAAAATAATATAAAAAAATTTTTCATCAATTGTGTAACGATTTTGTGACGTATCAACGGTTCCTCCTGTTAGTTTTTTACCATTGAAACTACGTTACACAATTAGCATTACACTACAGTACCGTTAAAAGTTAATGATGTCGATGTTGCTCCACAAAATATTTCATCATCCGGATTTGGTATTTAATTGTGACTAAAGTTGGGAATGCATCATATGCGAAATATAAATTTTTTAATGAAGGGCTTGTTAACAAAGTGACAAAGAAACTGGTTTTGATATTTAATGTATTTAAAAATCAGTAGTGAGAAGCTATTTTCTCATTATGATCG